CTAATCTTTGCCACAGACTTCAAATGAAAGCAAGTGATCAGATTTCTCTTTTTCTTAATGATATTTATACTACTGCAGTAATAAAGGAACAAAGTCATATATGATGATCCCAATTTAGTTTTAAACACTTTCTTCCTTTCAGCCACACATAGGTATGTATGGATGGATGTACACAAAGTAATCTTTTTTTCTGTATTTAATCATACACAAACACACACATATATAAATACACACATATGCATATACATACACTCACTGCCCAAAATGTTTAAGGTGATTATGTCTGGATGGTAGGCTTTTCTTCTTTACTTTTTTATTTCTTTTTAAATATTCTACAAAGTACAGGTACTATTTTTAGAAAACGCCCACAAATGTTTTTTCTTTTTAATGCATAGAAGAGAAACTGTCTAAAAAAGACTGGCCAGAGACCAATGGAAAACTGATGGTCCCCAGGAGATGAATCAGTGGAACCGTAAGTGTTTCCTCGGGTCATTACAAAAGGGGGCTGTATGGGACTTATAGAAGTGTAATTGTTACTTTCAAACTCACTAAGTTTAAGGTTACTAAGCTTAAGTAATTCCAAAATAAACACATTATCCTTGGATCTCCAATACTGTCTTCAGTTAAAGTCTGTTGCAGTGAGGTTCAGAGACATTTAAGAGCATCCCTCACTACAACTCTTGCTTGGGGGGGCACCCAGAATTCAACTGTATACCACCGGAAAACAGCTTTAGGATACCCACAACAAATAAATATAGAGTTGATGACAGCTCCACTTCCTAGTTCATTATTCCCCCATATGATTCTGTAATAGTGGCAATGTGGTTCAACCTTGGAAACATTTGCAAACAAGTGACTCTCCCTTAATTTCTACATTGCTCACTAGCATTGTTTTACCAGTTAACCTTCTCTATATCGATGAGCTGCAGGTCCAAGGAAGTGATCTTTGCCAGCATCTATGTTAGCAACCATTAGATTGCATCCCTGCAAAGCAAGCTAAGAAGGCAAAACCTTACTAAAAACCTTTCCAAGGACAGTAATGTACCAACAAAGCAATACCGAGAGTACTATACCTGAGTAAGTTAGGAAATGAAATACATTAACTACAAGAGAAAAACTCAACCCAGTGTTGAGGAGTAACAGAAGCACCATGGTTGTACCAAGGACATCTCTGGTCCAGCTCTAACTGCTAGAAACAGCCAAGAAATCTGTTAATGCCTTTAAGGGCCATGGCAGAGAGCAGAACTTGAGAACGAGCACTCCCAAGGCACTGGGGACTTTTCTCCTGCACCCCATGCCTGCCCCTCGCCACACACACTCACCCACGAGGGAACATAAGCATAAACTTGCTGAGATACTACAACATACAGCCCTCCACCCAGAACTGCCCACCAACTTACTCCTCACCCTAAGTTTTCATCCTTTAAGGTAATAAGGGAATTTTTTTCCTGTATAAAAATATCTGACTTTATAATGTAAATCACTGAGAAAATAGGAATCACTGTGCAGCCAATTTCACTGAAATATAACCATTCAGTAAAGTCAGGGGTCCTCATAAAAGTTCTACAAATATACTGGGAAGGATTTTTAATGTGTTATCTGTGTTCTTTATTTTATTTCCAAGTCATCAATGTTACATAATATTTCTTGACTAAAGCTGACTGTGCCAGTAAAATATAGGGAGAAGTATTACTTCTGGACCTACTTTTCACCTCTAAGGAAAGCCTTTCCATTTTTATAGCTAACACGACAAAATCTACTTTTCAGCCAAGCTTCCTCAACACAGCAGTTTAGATACTATTTCAAATACTATTAAAATTAATAGCAGGGCTAAACTCAGCCTTCTCATTTCACTTTTGCACCTACTGGAAATTATTTCACTCAAAATAATTATGTCTTCAGACAATTTCCTATTTCCACTTCAAGTGGAAACAAATTAGAACACTTCAAATTCTATTTGCACTTCCCCAATACAGTAATGACTCATTTATCTGGCATCATCAGGAAACGAGGTTCTCCACATTAAGCCTTTTCCAGATAACTCAAGTCCACAGGAGCAGACAGCTCATCTGCCTTGTTCCCAGCTCTATCCCCAGGGCCCAGAACAGGGGCTGGCACAGTAGATGCGCAGGAATATTGACTAAAACATGTGACTAAATAAAGTATACTAAAGCTCTTATTTTTAACCATTTCATGAAAGACCTTCTAACACAGCAATCCCTCTCTTTAAAAACAAACAAACAAGCATGACACTGAACAGAAATTAAGCTTTTCTTATTAATTTGGATAATCACTACAAGCAGCAACCACTCTACCTGCCTACCATACACTCAGAGAGCCCTCACAAGCTGTTAAAATACACAGGGCTTTTTGCCACCAAATTTAAATGGCCTCAACATACTATTATGCTTTCTAACTTTTGCTTTTCTGATATTAGCTGTCACTTCTCTTTGCTGCTGCCGCCTTATTTTATACACGAATGTCTGGCAATGTTCTAAAATTAATTCTGCCTCCAAAGCAGAATAAAATATGTGAACTTGGTTATCATTCAGAAGTCTTTCCTGCTTCTCATCTGTGACTACATTCTGATTCTATTTACTTAACAGACTCCTTGCACTACCCACCACATTCTACATAAAATCTCAGATTGTTCTATTAGCTTTAAACGAGCATCAAGGATTTTCATTTAAATTCTAAGTCTCAAATATTAATCATGAGTAACAACTCAAAGACTAGTTTCAATATAAAACGTCAGAATATATATTTTTTAATCCATTTAGGAGACACCAACTACGACAAGGCTGGATTTCATCTTACTTGATATGCTGTGATAGAGCTATAATTTAAAATCACTGTTCCAAAGTTCATGGCAACAAAAAAAATCAAGCACACTGGCAGCCATGGTGTACTGTGCTTGCACAGGAAGGCATGTCTCCTTGAACCTAAGAGCGAACAGGATAATTTAAGTATAACATTTAGTTTATATAATACAACTGGAGTTCCTTCCCCACAACAAACTTTGAATAATGTTTATAATTTAGCAATCAACTGAAATGATGAAAGAATCACCACAATTGAAATAAAATATTTATGCATTTCAAACCAGTAAAACTGTATCTTCAAAAACTAAAGTGAATTAAGACAACCTAGTTCTGAATTAGGGATGGATACAAAAAATGGAGAATTTGTTTATTTGAGTCTGTCTCTTCTTCTTTAAAGATTTAATGACTTTCCTCTGAAATAAGCAGAGTTTACTAAATTAAAGGATTTGATTATGTGTTCTTTAAAAGTAGTTAGGTAAACAATAAAGTAAGTTATGCAGGAGTCAAGAAGAGAAAAATTATTTCAGACTGCTTTATGAATATTTTTCCCAAATCACCAATCCCTCAATAGAAATAGTTCAACTGATGATTTCAGATCCTGGTACTGAACTGAACAAAGAGAACCCCGTGTGTTTAATGGTCACTCACAGACGATCCAAATAAATCTGCAAAAGAACAGCAGTGCTTCTTTCTGTGTTTTTCCCTTCAAAACTCAGAAGACAGGGTCAACACAGAAATAAAAATTATTGTGCTTTATGGTACCACTCACTTTGTGACACATTTATTTGCTGTCATGAAAGTTAGTGCCCTCAACAAAGCAAGTGAAATTTGGAGAAAAATTCTTTAATACTTTAAGCAGAAAATGTTCTTACCATTTGAGGCAGAAAGAGTTAACCCACCTCATAAGAGAAGATTTTCAAACTGAGTGAGAAAGCTAAGTATTTATATATAAACGTTACAAGGAAGTTTTCCACCAGATTTCCAATCAATTATGATGCTGACTTTAGATCAAAATTAGACAGCTAAACTACTACCATTTCTAAGAAATGAAGCCCACACAACGGAAAATGTACATGTAACCACTGACGTGTTTCCCCAGCGTTTACCTGTGAATTAAAACGGAGCAACAGCACACCCTGCTGGAAGCTGGGGATCTCATTACAGTACTAAGCAGCACAGATTTAAGATTTCACCCAAGACAAGAACTACTCCAGAAGCTCTAATTTCTCCCATAAATGATACAAGAGGGTCACAGGCATTAACCATCAGATGTCTATACCTTGATCTTAAAGGTAAAATTAAGACTTGGAATAATTTCAAATTTAAAAATACTGTTTTGTCCTGCTCATTTCTCTATCCCACACAGCCCCAGCCACCCCAAGTGATTTGACTCTTTTTCATTTTAACCATAAACAAAAATATTTTCAAATCTGCTTTCTGTAAAGAGAAACTGGTAATCAACTAAGAGGAAATTGTGGCCATTTTCTGCACGTGAGTGCCTGTAGCACCACTCTCTTCTTCCCATCCCATCTTGGCCACAGAAACATCCTTAAAGACCACCATTAAGAATCCACAAGGTGGCTTAGAGGTCCATGAACCAGAATTTACATGCCATTGTCAAAACGCCTTCACAGGCTATGGAATTCAAAATATGCAAACTGTATTAAAAAACCACATGCCATGAAACTCCCATCATTAATATGCTTCGACATTTTCACGGACATGAAAAATCACAGCAGCTGCTGTCTAGATAATCCAGTTTGGCACTCTCTGTAACAAGCCACAGGAACCAGAGGATAAACAGAAAGGTACTCAAGTTTTCCAAAAATGCTCTCTTGGCTACAGAAAACTCCTTGGTACCACTGGGTCCCTCCTCAGAAAAAAAAAAAGCTATTCTACTATCGCTCTACATCATTCTAAAGGGACATCTGAAAGGTCCTGATCAATCTGTGATCAACTTTGAAATTGCTCTTCCTCATGAATGAAGTCCAGCAATTCTGAAAAACTAATGGAGAAGGGCAAGGAATATCAAACACTACAATGTCGTTTCTCCCTCAAGAACTGCAAAGGCAATAATCACCTCAGGTTTGTTTATCTAAACTTGTCTTTCAGTGGTATTATTTGGTTCATTATTCCAATCAAAATACATTTAAATTAGAATTTTAAAAGGATACCAACCTCAAGCCTCTTTTCAAGTGACTCGATTCTGTCCTTTTTGCTAGCTAGGTTGGCCCGTGTGTAGCGGCTCTGCCCAGGAAGATAGAGAACTTGACTGTAGCATTCTTCCCACACCTGATTATAAGCTTCACTTGACAGTTCTCCGTGGCTCATACCTTGTTTCACCACTTCCATCTCCTGTACCAGAACGTCCTGGGCCTGTTTACAACAATAATTTCAGTAAGTTCAAGTACTAGAAATGCTTGTCAGCCACGGAGTTTAAAAGCCTAGTTTTTCCTCCTCCTTTGGGCAAAGGCAAGGAGTTTTGGTTGACTGGTTGTTTTTGGAAGGGGGAACAATACTTAAGCAAAATGAATTAAGAAGCCTGCAAGTCAATGTAGACTGATCTGAAAAGCCAAGCATCCGTGCAGCTCCAATAATTTAAACATCCTTTGCCTTCACTCATTACAATAGTTGCTACCATTTCTCTAGTGTCTACTATGTGCCAGGAACTAGATTTAAAATTTTTATCTACGTTATCTCCAAACAGCAGAGCCACCTTAGGAAGCAGCCAACTTAACCTCACCTTCAAGCAGATGAAACGAAGCCAAAGCAGCAGTGATGGTGGGCACGCTCCTCCCCCGCTACCACCCTGCCCTACAATTCTGACTTTACAGGAGCACCGAGGGGGAACTAGACAGTTCTGTGACACATGCCTTTTTCTCATCTGAAGGAATGCCCCTGACACTGCCAGGGAAAGAGATTGGGGGCACAAATCAAATAATGATGGATCCCAGACCAGCTTTTGTTCACTACGAAAGAAACAGTTTAAGATGACAGAATGAGGGGAACAGGGTTGGACAAGCCTGGGTTTAAATCACAGCTTTACCATTTAAGCAGCTGTCTAAACTTGATTAACATCTATGAGCCCCATTTCTCAACTATAAAATGGGGATAACACCCACCTGACATGTTTGTTATTAGGACTAAGTGATACAATTTACATAAAGCACCTAGCCCAACATCAGACACAGAGACTCCATGAGGAAACAACATGAACTTTTTCCAGCCCTTTGCTTCATGGCTCATGAGAAACTGACCACAACTTTTTGTGCCTTATTGAAAGCACTCTGTAACACCTGAAAATACACAGACCAAAATATATAGAATCAAGAGAAATGACCAGCATACAAAATATCTGAATGAAAAAATGGAAAACCATGGCTATAGAATATAAAGAATGATTACTTTTAAATAATACCTCTTAGGGGAAATAATGGAAACAAACCAATTTTAACATACTTAATGGAAAGCTGATACTTTATAAGAGCAATGGTATTTCAATCTGAAACTGTACATAGTAAAAATGTACAAATTCAGCTCTTGTAATTATTAGGAGAAAGCATGACTATGTTATCTTTAAGCTCTCCATAAAGAATCTTCTAAATAGTTGCTTCAAATTCTTTTTGGAACAAAAAGGAATATAGATAAATAAAATATGGGAGAATACTTAAACTACTTTGTAATGATTTCAAATGATTCCAAAGCACTACTTATAATTATTACTTTGAAAAATTTTATTAGAATCTATCCCACACAGAGCCTCTATTAGCAACGATGTGATCCTTATTTCAGGTTTCCATACATATAATAAATTTAGGAAAATTTATTTCCCAAATTCCATCTTCCTCTCATATTTTCATTCTAATATGATAAAACTGATCAAGTATCAAGTTCATGGTCTAATTCTCCACCCCCATTCAATGATTAAATGTGTTTGCCACAGCATCAGCAATCAACAGATACTGTTTCCCAATGGACTTAGTAAAAAAGAGTTAACTCAAAATTACTCAGAAATCAAGAGCAAATTGTTGAAATATAATGTAAATTCTCCTTCCTTTGTTTTCTAAAAATCCTGTAATAAAACATGTAATTACTTATGCAATACAGAAAAAAGAAAGAGAGAAAAGGGAAAGAGGGAAAGTGTAGGAGAAAAGACAGAAAAAGAATTTTCTCCCAAGTATGCATTAGTCCATCCCAATCAATGGGTATCACTGCCCTTCAGGGCTAAAGACTAGTGAAAAAAGACTTCTAAGCTAATGATCACTCTGCTTCCAAACCACAAAACCATAAATTGTATTTTCTTACACCACTGCACAGATTTCTATTCAAAATCACAACTGTTTACTCTGTCAAAGGAAAAGAACAAAATGCATATAGAGGAAGAGGCAGGACAGACTTTACACAAAAAAATTTATTTCCTTATCCAAAAGGATAGGGGGAAATCATGTGAGGAGAATAAGTTCAGTAAACAATTATTTCTTTTCTGTGAACAGGTGAAAGAAAGGTTTAATCTATAGACACTTAATATATTCTTGCTTTTTCATATTAATGTAAATAAGTGAAGTTTAAATATTAAAGGCATTCAATTCTATTCAGAGATAGCAGAATTAAACACAGAAAATGCCAATTGTAGCAAGCAACTACCAAGCAAGCACACACCCATGAAACTAAAACACCTTCCTACCAAGACAGTGTTTTACCTGGAAAGGTCAATCACTGAACATGGGAACAAGGGGGTGTTAAGTATCTTCTCTTCATAATTCTAAATATGAATGGGACATTTATTTCCTAACCATACATTTCATTTGCTTGTGAATATCAATATTGAAACATAAGTTAATGTTTACTTACCCCTTACACACAGTATCTAACAAATACTATCTTGGGACAAGAATAATCTTGCTCAATCATACCTTTTTCAACTCTTCTTTGGAGAACTTTTCATAAGGATTATGTTCTAGATAGGCAATGTGCTCTGAATTATTGGTACCAAATCCTACAGTTTTTCCTTTTTTATTTCCAGATGGTTCATAAGGATGATGTAGAAGGTCGTAATGAAGCATTGTGATCATTTCTTTTTTGATGAGTTCCTCACTTTTCTGTAAATCTGTTAGAGGTGGTTCCACATTTAAGGGTCTTAGAATAGTTTCATTCACCTAGAATTTTAAAACAAGTACAATTACCAAACATATCACTACAACTTATTGTTATTACTTGTTCAACCATGATTTAAATTGCAATTTCACATATTCAAAAGAAATTCTTTTTTTCCCCTTCTAAATTCTTACTTGTACCAATGAAACATTTTTGAAGGCTGGATCTGGAAACTGCTTTACTATGTTGTAGAAAGTAGATGAAATTTTGTTTTACAGACTTTATGAATGATATAAAAGGCATAAAAGGAAACTTAAACTTCCTAAGCCAGAAATTCTAACACTTACTTCTGATGGTCTTGGCAGATCTTTCTGCACAGCTTTATGCATTCGTTTCATTTCCTTTACACGTTCTGCATCTCGTATGGCCTAAAAAATTATTTTTATGTCCATTATTGCAGATTATACAGTATGTGACACACTTTAGTAAAGTTAAAAACCCCTTATTATGCTCAGTGAAATAAGCCAGGTGGAGAAAGACAAGTACCAAATGATTTCACTCATTTGTGGAGCATAACAACAAAGCAAAACTGAAGGAACAGAACAGCAGCAGACTCACAGACTCCAAGAAGGGACTAGCAGTTACCAAAGGGAAGGGGTTGGGGAAGGTGGGTGGGGAGGGAGAAGGGGATTAAGAGGCATTATGATTAACACACAAAATGTAGGTGGGTCGCAGGGAAAGCAGTATAGCACAGAGAAGACAAGCAGTGACTCTACAGCATCTTACTATGCTGAAGGGCAGTGACTACAATGGGGTGTAATAGGGGACACTTGATAATATGGGTGAATGTTGTAACCACAATGTTGATCATGTGAAACATTCGTAAGATTGTATATCAATGATACCTTAATGGAAAAAAAAAACCTTTAGCCTGTAAGAACATGTATGTTCAAGAGTTAAAGCTATGAACCTGTGGAAGTTTGTAAAAAGGCAATATAAGGCAGCAGAAATTAATCAGCCTATTCATTCTCTCATTACAATAGAAACTAAGAACTTTCAATGTCTGCTAGGGCATTCATCAAATTTACACGGCTCCTTCCTTCAGATAATCATTCTTTTCTCATCTAAATCAGAATCCTAACCTAAGAGGGGACTCTTAATTGTTCCTCCTGAAATTCCCACCCTTCTACCCCAAAAGCTACTGATTTTTAATTTAAAAAGCCAGTCAATGAATGTGTTGTTTCCTGTTTCTTAAATTATGAATAACATGGGGTAACACATTAGAATTTCACACCATTTCTGAGACTAAATGCAACTCAAAGTAGCTAAGAGAACAAAACGCAAAAGAAATCCTATATTCCCCACCAAAAAGCACATACACATTGTTTCCCTATAAAATGTGATTTTCACTGATGTCATTCTTACACCAAACCCATGAAATTATTCAGTTTCTAAAACCATCCTGAAATGGACTGAAGCAAGAAGTCCTGAAAGGGGTCACAAGAGTTCAGTTTTAGTCCCACATTTTCTAGCCATCAGATATGGGAAAGTCAACTTAACTCACCTGAGCCTGTTTCCTCATTTCTAAAATGAAGCTAATTCTTATTCTATTTACATCACCAGGTTTATGTGCAAATGACAAAGCAATTATCTGTAACATATTTTATTAGCAGAAGGTGTTACTAACATTATCCTGATGCATTCTTGTTACCAAAGGGAAGGGGTTGGGGAAGGTGGGTGGGGAGGGAGAAGGGGATTAAGAGGCATTATGATTAACACACAAAATGTAGGTGGGTCGCAGGGAAAGCAGTATAGCACAGAGAAGACAAGCAGTGACTCTACAGCATCTTACTATGCTGAAGGGCAGTGACTACAATGGGGTGTAATAGGGGACACTTGATAATATGGGTGAATGTTGTAACCACAATGTTGATCATGTGAAACATTCGTAAGATTGTATATCAATGATACCTTAATGGAAAAAAAAAACCTTTAGCCTGTAAGAACATGTATGTTCAAGAGTTAAAGCTATGAACCTGTGGAAGTTTGTAAAAAGGCAATATAAGGCAGCAGAAATTAATCAGCCTATTCATTCTCTCATTACAATAGAAACTAAGAACTTTCAATGTCTGCTAGGGCATTCATCAAATTTACACGGCTCCTTCCTTCAGATAATCATTCTTTTCTCATCTAAATCAGAATCCTAACCTAAGAGGGGACTCTTAATTGTTCCTCCTGAAATTCCCACCCTTCTACCCCAAAAGCTACTGATTTTTAATTTAAAAAGCCAGTCAATGAATGTGTTGTTTCCTGTTTCTTAAATTATGAATAACATGGGGTAACACATTAGAATTTCACACCATTTCTGAGACTAAATGCAACTCAAAGTAGCTAAGAGAACAAAACGCAAAAGAAATCCTATATTCCCCACCAAAAAGCACATACACATTGTTTCCCTATAAAATGTGATTTTCACTGATGTCATTCTTACACCAAACCCATGAAATTATTCAGTTTCTAAAACCATCCTGAAATGGACTGAAGCAAGAAGTCCTGAAAGGGGTCACAAGAGTTCAGTTTTAGTCCCACATTTTCTAGCCATCAGATATGGGAAAGTCAACTTAACTCACCTGCGCCTGTTTCCTCATTTCTAAAATGAAGCTAATTCTTATTCTATTTACATCACCAGGTTTATGTGCAAATGACAAAGCAATTATCTGTAACATATTTTATTAGCAGAAGGTGTTACTAACATTATCCTGATGCATTCTCTCTAAATTTCCAAATCCATTTTATCAGTTTACACTAACCTAAAACCATTTACCCAACCAATCCAAGACATACTTGTTTTTAAGACTGGTCACTAACATCTTTTCTTGGCCAGAATAAAAAAGCAATGTCTAAAACACTACATATGTATTATAAAGAAGCATAATGAATTTGACAGAGGGTATTTAATTGCTATATATATGCATAAAGAATGCCTGTCTAGATATTCTTGAGTATATTTTTCATTACATGAGTATATATCATTAACAATGTAAGTAATTGAGGGTAATTTTTTTAAATATTGAAAAAACTTTTAAGTAGCCTTGAGACATTTAATAGCCATTCTTCATTTTTTCAGCCTACTTACACATTTAGCAAAGTTCACATTTCCTTTTAGCACAGTTACCCACCTGCTTCCGTGCATCCACATCAGCAGCATCTTCAATGTAAGTATCATCTATTTCACGGTCTTCTAGCTCCTTCTCAGCATTTTCTGGTAGAACAATTTCAAAGTCATTCTTAGGGGCAGGAAGGCCCAACAACCCTAAACGGAGGTGTTCACGAGATTCTCTTTCCTGTAGAAAAGAATTGGTCCTTTTCAATTCATAGACATTAAGTATTCAACCAATAATTTATGAGTTTCTAAAAAGTAATTAGCCTAATTTTAATTCTAGAAAAATGGTCCCTAACTTCAGAGCTGAGACAAATTTTTTTGTTTAATTTATATCTCCATTTCTTCCCTACACTGAGACAAATCAAAAACCATGTGATTAATGGAGTTACTCTGGAATATTCTAATAGAAGGTTCGGGAATTACTTCTGCAGGGGCAGAAAAAAGTCCTTTAGGATTTCCATTTAAGGAAAACATTTCTGACACTGAAATTTAATAGCAAAAGAAAAGAACAAATTCAAAAGTCAACTTGTCCTGAGACTAATAAAACTTAATCTGAAATGAAGCCTGAATTTGTGTGTGTGTTTATTTTTAATGGAAATACTAGGTCATATGCAGTCCAAGGAAGACAGTCCATAGTTCCCAAAGGAAACTGCCTGGTGACACAAAGTTTTCCCCAGTATGTCCTCAGCTCACCTTTCCAGTCTCATTCGCCATTGCTCCAATGACACATATGCTAGGTGTGAGGAGATGAGCTGCTACATCCAAAACATGCTCCATACTTACTCTTACTGTGGCCTCCATCTGAGACAGCCCCCCTTCCTTCTGAGCATACATCCTTAATGAAGACCTTCCTAGTACCCACCCAGCAAAGATGATTCTTTCTTTTTTTCTTTGGCCATGCTGGTTTTATTCAAAGAGCTTATTTTATATATTACGATTATTTTTGGACTTAGCTTAGTACTGACAATCTCTCCAGAGTATAAACTTCTTTAAGACAAAAGATATCTTTCCTCAACTTTAGAGTCCCTGAAGTACACAGGATCCATGCTTTGCACATACTAGATTTCTCATGCATCTAGCTCCTATGCAGCCACTCAGAGTTGGCATTAGCTGATATCAATTTGGACATTAAAAAAACTTCTAAACTAGCCAAATCTATATATGAAGTTAGAATTTGTAAACTGAAAACAGGCCAACATCACTGGAACTCATTTTAAAAAAAAATCTCACTTTGACTTTCTGTGGCATCAGATAATAAAATCCAATAGTGACAAAATAAAAGCAGTAACTGTAACTTTTATAATTTGCTTTCTGTATCACCTTGCAAAACATATAAAAGAAAATTTCACTAACATCAGCCAATAAACATCAAATTAACTTGGCTTTGAGATTGAGACTGTCCTTCTAAATGTATAGAGCAAACATAGGAATCAAGACTCAAAATCTAATTTCTGAGGCATTCGAAACACAAACATTTTACAGAAATATAAAATAATCAAATATATCATTCAAGAAAGTTAAGTATTAAACTAGTAAATGATACAAATTAAAAGCATAAGAGATACAAGGAGCATTACTATGAGCATAATCCATATTCATAAATACATTAAGATTTTTAAGAAAAAGTAGACTTTTAAGAACAAAAGGTTCCCCTTCTCAAGTCCTACAAATCATTTTCCTTCTCTGGCATCCATAGATACATAGATTCTTAAGGTATATATAATATGCACTGACAAAGGGAAGAAATTTTAATTTGGCACCCATGAGACTATAATATGCACTGACAAAGGGAAGAAATTTTAATTTGGCACCCATGAGACAGAAAAGTTTTTTTTTCTTTTTAGGAGTATTGAAAGAGTTTCTCAAAAAACCAAAAACAGAAATACCATTTGATGCCAGAATTCCACTCCTAAGAATTTATCCAAAGAAAATAAGATCCTAGATTTAAAAAGACATATGCACCCCTATGTTTACTGCAGCAGTATTTACAATAGCCTAGATACGGAAGCAACCTATGTGTCCATCAGTAGATGAATGGATAAAGAAGATGTGGTACATATACACAATGGAATATTATTCAGCAATGAGAAGAAAACAAATCCTACCATTTGCAATAACATGGATGGAGCTAGAGGGTATTATGTTCAGTGAAACAAGCCAGGTGGAGAAAGACAAGTACCAAATGATTTCACTCATTTGTGGAGTATAACCACAAAGCAAAACTAAAGGAACGAAACAGCAGCAGACTCAGAGACTCCAAGAAGGGACTAGTGGTTACCAAAGGGGAGGGGGAAGGGAGGGGAGGGGAAAGGGGGGGAAGGGGGGAGGGAGGGAGAAGGGAATTGAGGGGCATTATGGTTGGCACACATGAAGTCGAGGGGTCATGGGGAAGACAAGTAATGACTCTGTAACATCTTACTACGCTGATGGACAGTAACTACAATGAGGTGTGGAGGGGACCTGATAATATGGGTAAATGTAGTAACCACATTGTTGCTCAAGTGAAACCTTCATAAGAGTGTATGTATATCAATACCTTAATTTTTTTTTAAGTAATAAAAATAAATAAATAAACCCTATAAACATAAAAAAATTTTTTAAAGTATTGAAAGAGAATTGACATGTACCATCTGCTTCACATAAGAGGGATCACTATAGTCTGCCAGTCCATCCTCAGGATTAATGTTTAACTTGTCTCGAAGAGGAGTTCTACCAGGGGTGGAGTTAACAACTGGTTTAGGAGTTGTCCCACTCCGGGGAGTCAGCCCTTCAGATCCATGAGAAGGAGTCCTAGAAAGACAGGAATTCCAATTAATAAAGGTGTTCATTTTATTTTAATTTTATTTTCAAATGTTTTCACATAAATAACTTTACAAGGAAAGAAAAAAAGATTCCAGAAATTCTGTCTCCCTACTTGGTTTTACATCAGATCTCTAGGTTAAAATAAAGGTCTGGTTCGTTAGCTTACTATTTACACACAGTATTTTTATTTTAATGGATTCCAATAAAGTTGTTACATTGGACATTTTCTTGCCTCCCTAAACCAGGTCCACCAAACATTATTTCAACCTTTTCTTGATGCATTAGTGTGGCTAAGAACATACACTGGGCAGAGTGGTCGGATACCACATCAAGAGACCTCAGACAACTCTTTTTTGAGTTCAGTGTCTTTCTCTTATTATTGTTCTCCTCCCTACCTATTGCTGTCAGTTATCAAATTATCATAGGTATACATACTTAAGTACTTCCTCCCTTTACTTTCTATTTGGAAATCAAACACCAGATTTTTAGATCCAAATATGTATGGTCCTGAGTGAGGGCCAAGAGACTCACTTAGGAAAAAAGTCCACAGACTTTGCAACTTATATTTTAATTATTCAAAACCCCCTTTTTTTTTTAATGCTTACTTCCTGTATCTTGGCTGTATTCCAGACAGGTGGTGCTGCCAGATAGCTGTTCCCAGAGGTGAGGTGAGGTGCTATCATGTAAGACATGGTCCCTGCCCACAAGGAGCTTACAGTCTAGTTGAAAGACAAGACATACACAGGAAAAGAAGGATTAGGCTCTCATAAGCCTTACAGAGGTGTAAATGTTACATAAGGATCTAGGCACTAATACTTCTTGATCCTGCTGTCATTTACAGCTGTTAACAGTCTAAGATGTTTCCTATACTAAACCACCAGTAAGGAGACATAATCTAACATTTAATACTAAAAGTAAATTCCAAGTATTTCCAACCCTAATAAGCTCAAATTCCCTTTAAATGTGACTTGCTTCTATAACATTTATATCTTAAAAATTCTGCTTAAAAAATAAACAGTATCTTAAAACAAAAAGAATTGTAAAAAACACTGAATTCTAAGTTAATGATTTACAAAAGGAAGTGTTTAGCGGTGAAACCTGCCAAACTTACTTTGCAATGCATTAAAAAACAAGATGGATTAATGGATGGATATATGATAAATATAGTAAAACATTACCAACTGTAAAATCTAGGAAGTGGGTATATGGGTATTTGCTCTACCATTTTTTCAACCTCTCAATGTTAGAAATTTTCATAATAAAATGTTGGGGAAAAGGAATAGTAATCCATGCATTAAAAGGATTAAATTTTCCTAAAATTCACCAAATGATTATTAACAATAGATTGATTTGCTCTTTTAAATCAGATAAAAAGTATTCAGATATAAGGTGACAGCATCAGAAACTCTGAAAAAAAGAAGTAAATCCATACTGTATTTAACCATTTTCCAAATACTATGATATTATTTAATACTATGAGTGAGGAGAAATCAAACAGGCAAGTTAACACTTATTTCCATTCTCTTAACAATTCTGAAGCAAACATGTTATCCAAGTCATTGGATTCAAGTTTTTCTAAAGAAGAAAACATTTGTTTACTTATGATAATACCTGAATGGGGTAGAAAGAACTGTGTTTGGAGTTTGTACAACCTGCCGCTGCGGAGTCACACCTGAGAAGTCGCTCTCGTGCAAAGGGGTATTAAGTCCACCTTTTAAGGGGGTGTCCACATTGGTGAGGGCCATGAGGTTCTGGGCTTCCTGATTAACAAGAAGGTAAAGAAGTATACTTTAACAGTTTAAAGAGGCTAACAGAACCCTCTCTTCTGGTCCTACTATATATATCTTGAAATAGACAGAATTCTTGAACATTTTCTTAATGAAAACCAAGAGAGGAAATTAATACTGAGCCACGGCAGAATTCAACACTTCCATTCCTTTTGTCAACCTAACATAATATGTCAGAAGTTTTGGAATAAGTTTTTTGTATGTCAAGAAATGTTTTTATGGTCTCACATGTGCAATCACCATTACCCAAAAGTTTTTCCTATTACCTGTGCCAAACTCTTTACAATCATAAAGAACCAAGAATGCAAATTTCCCAATGTGAGCTCAGGCTAAATGTCACACACCTAGGTCTTAGTCTGGCTTTATCACTAATTCTTTATCCAGTCTTCATTAGCCTCTTTGAGTCTCAGTTTCTTTTACTGGGAAATTAAGATACTAACTGTCCTATCCACTTCACAAGACAACTCCTAAGGGCAAGTTCCTTTCTGAAGTTCTGCTTGGCCTCTTTAAGCAGGACTGACTGGGCTCTCTGTAGTCCCTGTTATAACCCTGCACTCATTACTATCACTGCACCCACAAGTCTCCTAATCCCCAACTTGGGGCCTGTGGCAGAATATATTTTCCAAAGACAGTAGTCACATCCAAATCTCCCATCTCACATGCTCTTCTTACAATCCAACCTTGCTACTCCTCCATCAAGAGGTGGGGACTGAATCTAGGTGGGCTTGTGACTTGCCTATAACTAACAATGCAGCAAAAGTGAGGCTGCTTGGCCTCCAAGTCAAAGTTAGAAAAAACAGTTTCCCACCACACTCAGTACAACACTCATATTGAGGCCTTGCGACACCATGGGAGAAGTTCAAATGCTTTAAGGCCACCATGCTGTGAGAAAGCTACATGAAGAGGTCACATGCAGATTCACTCCACATTCCCAGATGAGGACCGAACCCACAGCCAACATCAATCAGTAGATGTGGAAAGATGGTTCCAGCCCCTACCCATCAAGTCACCCCAAAATGTTGAGTCCTCCTAGCTGAGACCCTACACATCATGGAGCACAGACGAGCCATTCCTTCTACGTCATGTCCAAATTCCTGGCCAACAGAAACCATGAGCACAGCAGAATGTTTTACGCCACTAAGTCTAGGAGCAAAATGAAGAAATCAGAGCAAGGCTCATTCTATTACTCTGTATGTCTTTATTCACGGAAAGTACTTTGAATTTCAGATTATCAAAGTCCTGGATGTGTTCTTTTTGCTATTGTAAATACAAAACAGTTTTCCCCAACTAGGCTCCCAAAAGGCTGGCCAGCTTTGTACCTCCAGTCGAGAGACTGGAAGCAACTTCTCTAGAGAATCTGACTAACCAGAAGAGATATAGAAATAGTGACATCAAGAGCTCCCTAATGAAACAAACACCACAGCCAGTCTAGCCTACAGGAAAGCCTTGAGGCAAGGTGCCCTTCACACACCCAGGGAGCTTCTAGTCAGCTTTTAATTGCCCCACCTTAGTCCCCAGACACAGGCAGTGAGCCAAAGATCAAAAGATATTTGATGAAACATCCAATATGAAAAAATAGAGAACAAAAGGAACTTCGACTATACAGGGAAAACTTCAAAAAAAACCATTAATAACCTCAGAAAAATAAGATAGTCATTAAATAAGAATGAGATGCTGAAAAAGCTGAACACATCCAAAACAAACTCTTAGAAATTAAAAATGTAATAGAAATTTAAAAACCAAATCAAGATAAAATTCAGAAAATCTCCCATCAATAAATCAAAAGGCAATTAAGACAGAAAACCAGAGAGGAATAAATAAGAAAATCTGAGGTTCATAATGAAACAGATCACTGAAAGGGGGGAAAAGTTTTTCAAAATAATTTCCCAGAATTGAAGGGCATGAGATTTCAGAATGAAAAGATCTACCAAGTACCTAGTACAATGGCTGAAAGCAGACCCACACCAAGATACAAGCATGTAAGAAGGAGAAGACTGTAGAAGATTCCAGAGAAAGAAAAAATTAGGTTTCCTATTAATAACCTGAATGGCACAGGAGGTCTCAATAGCAACAATGGAAGCCAGAAGACAATGGAGTACTGCCTTCAAAACTGTGAACAAAAATCATTTTGATCTGGAATTCTATACCCAGTTATAATATCAATCAAATAAGAGGATAGAATGGTAACTTACAGAAATGCAAGATCTTAAAAATTCCATGTCTCATGCATCTTTCCTCAGAAAGTTACTTAAGGACAAGCTTCACTAACAATGGAATAAACCAAAAACTCCAAGGATGTGGGAGCCAGGAAAAAGGAGCACTTTCTAGGAACTTTCCAGAGAACTTTCTAGGGTGACATTAAAGGAAAATCAAAAGAACAAGCTGCAAACCAGATCTAGAAAACAATCAGTCCAGACTAAGAACACTCAGAAGTTCTGGGGAAGACTTCTTCAGAAAGAAAAGAACACCTAAAATTTGACCTAATTACAGATTTACACAGTTAGTGTAATGTCTAGAATTGAATTCATGCTAAGTAATCAGGAAAATTAGCAAGTGAATAAAACAAGTATTAACTCAAAGAAAAACAAAATACTGTGCAGGAAAGTAATTACAGAGTACACTGTGGCTCAGCAACAAACACAGCTTTCATAGTCATAAAGTAACCATGAATATGAAGCTAACCAAAATTATATTATAACCATAATGAAAGATAGGGGAATGGAACAGAGTGTGTATGCATGGTAGTGGTAGAAGGTGTGAGAGCACAAAATGTTCAAATTCTAGGTGGAAAATGCCTAAAACTGAAAACAAAATCAACATGTAACAATGTCTTAGCAATGAAGGTGGTAAAAACAAAGAGTTGTGGTTGGTATCTCTAGGAAGCAAGCAATGAGGGGCATGACAGTTTTCCTAAGCCCTACAGGAATACTTGACTCCCGCATCAAGACCTTAGAATTGTATGTCTATTAGAAATGAGGAAATGAGATATAAGGGTGCTAACATACTATAGTGTTTTGTTAGGTTTGGCTATTCTCTGGCGTGCACGCATCCTAAGAATACACAGAGATGTAAACTCCCTGTGTTAAGGAGAGAGAGAAACAGGGCTGATGGCAGTCAATGCCAAGCTAAGTACAGAAATGCAAGGAAGTTTTAGTGACTACGTATGTCTGATTTCTTTCCAAGATGCTAGGCAATGTGAAATTTTAAAATGCAGTGCTTTATTGACAGGTACTAAATACTAATGAAGGAAGAAGGTCTGGCTCCAAAAAGAAAAACCTATAAATTAATAAATGTAGAAATGAAACCACCTAATTACTTTTCTGCTAACTTAGCTTCCCTACTACAGAAATCTCTAGTATCTATGCATTCAAACTGTTTACCCTAAAAGAAATGAAATCAGTATTTCCTTCATAATATTTGTAAAGACAATAAAGTGTAAGGCTCACCCTCCTATACGACAGCTTACCTGCAGAATTCTGTCCTGGGAAGCTGGCGTTCGTGGTGTTCTAAGAGCGATACTGTTGTTGGTGACATTGTATTCAGACAAAAGAGTACTGGAGGCAGAGTTTGTTATGCCAGATTCCTCAGCAGTCTGGCGAGCAATTTCACTTGCTTGGCCTACTTTTACAACTTCCTGGAGTTCTGCATCTGAAATCTAAAAAGACAGTTATCACAGTAGCAATATTTTCACCAGAAAACAACACAGCTTAAACCTTCCATAATCCAGAAAGATGAAATACTGAAGCTGTGTTATGACTACATGGGGGCTCACTGTAGTACTCTCTATATTTTGTGGGTCTAAAAATCTCCATAAAGGTTTTAAAAAGTCTTCCCTGTATAATGTGAGGAGAAGACAACATAGGATATAGAAACAAGCTGCAAAGTCTTATATTTCCATAGTGAAATTCTTTCACACCAACAACATATTAATAAACCAAGAACATAAAATAATAGTGTTTGTACAACTATTATCAATGGGCGTGAAGGAGAAGCCTGAAAACCAGTTAAAATACCAGAGTCCACTAAGCCACAGATCCCTATGAAAATCAAAGTTATCTTAGTAATTTTCCAACATAAATAGCCTAAGAACTAAATTACAGAAATAGTAATTTTCCAACATAAATATCCTAAGAACTAAATTACAGAACTATAATTTCAATTTAAGAAATATGAACAACTGGAAATGGAAGCACCTGACAAAAATATTTTATGTTTATGCCCAAGAATTTTGTGTTGATGCAGCAAGTGATGCAACGTTTGGGGAAAGGAGCAGTTCTGGCCTCCTAAGTGCACCCCTCTGCTCCATTAAATTGCCTAATTCTACAGAGCCATACCACTCAAAATAAAACAAGAACTTATTCAAAATTCCCATGTTCAGAACAGCTATAATTAAGTCAAAAGAACAGAACCTGTGATAACCTGAATAAGGGAATATTTCTCTCTTCTCCTTCACTCCATTGATTTTCACAGCTTTTACCTCAAAAAGTAAGTATGACCCAACAGAACATTCCCCAGAAGGAAGCAGCCTGAAGTCCACAAGCCAAACATCTTCATGTTGGTCAGCTACAAAAAATAGGCCTGGAGCCCTAACCTGATGACAATTACTTACCAGACCATCACTTGAGCAGTTTCAGGCCTGATAATAATAATTTATACTAAGAAGCTGTTTACCACACCATCTCACGATGATTCATCTTTATGTGTGGTTCAGCTATTACACTGTGAATTTCTGAAGGGCATCCAGCAACTAGCAGAAACTGGCACATAGTCCCTCAGACATTTGCTGAATTAATGATAAGTCTATGAGTTAACTCAATGAAAAAACTGCTTTTATCAGATTACCTGAGGGGCAGGAAGTACTAGTTTGCTTCTCTTCTTAGTAAATTCAGAAACACCACTAGTTTGAAGAATAGCTGATGGTAAATCAGATTCTTTTTTCCTTTTCAAATGCTGCTTGTCTTTTTTTCTATCTCTTCCTTCTTTTTCACTGTCATGGGTCAAAGTACAAAGGAGATTTTTTTAAAGTTACATATAGGCAATAACATTAAAAGTCATATAAATATTCATATGCTTTGAATAAAAAATTTCTATTCCTAAGAAAATTACTAATAAAAATACAAAAACCATATACAGTAAGTTGTTCCCTATACCATTACCTGCACACTATATTTATCAGGAGTGCAGACTTAGAAAAGCAACAGAATTAACAGGATATGCTAAGTATTAAATATTAAAACTATTTAACTATAAAAATTGATGATAAGCACAATGTTACTGTTAGGCTGGAGAAAGGAAAAACAAGGACATGCAAACAGAACAGAGAGATGCCATAGGGGGAGAACAGACCAGACCCCAAGGTCCGTGCCTTATATAGAAAGGGGACAGCTCTCCCTGAATTCCATCCTGATGTGCCAACTAAGACCCGGATGTCAGCCTCCTCCCTCGTGGAAGGAAAAAAAGTTTCTAGTTGACTATTATGTCACCTTTAGCCAATCATACCTCTCAATACCCCTTAGGATAGCTTGCCCACTCCTCCCCCTCCTAATCCCTTATAAGCACCCCACCTCCCTGACCAGGTGTGACTTCTCCAGCTTGTAGTACCCAAGCCGTGAGAACATCACCCGGGGGTATTTAAATAAATTACCTGGCCCTTTGTTGCCTCTCTTTGCCTGCTTATTCCAGCTAGAATTTATCTTACAGTTACATAATGTCAAAGAAAAACAAACTATTCCTATATGATTATATTCATAAAAAAAATGTGTGTACACAGAGGAAAATGATGAGACAAGTATACAAAAAGGCAAAAAATATATAAAGTGGAAAATTAAAACATTGTGAATTTTTAATTTCCCTTTAAAACTGTTCAGTTGTTGACTGTTTTTAATTCACAAGTTTTTTTTAAAAGGATACTTAAGTCCTCACAAATGACACCAAAAAAAGTTGCTAAGAAGCCTAAAGCCAGGCTCAAGACCATCTATTAAAGTTTCAGAATGTCTCCTCCTTCCCCTCTGCATGTCATCCTCTTCCCCCATCTGATTCCTTCCAAATGATTAATTTTCCTCTAGAATCTTTATTTGTAGAGGCAACCTAAAATGAAGTCCTAATTTGACAAATAAATTCAATGGCGTACATCCAAGAAAATCCTGTTTCATAGTGGCTGACATGTACTATTTAGTAACAATTCATGTCAACAGAGATGGAAGGTCTGTCAGGGAGTAGAAATCTACATAACTTTGAAAAATCATAAAAGGTTCTCCTCACAGTATTCAGATACAAGAATTAAAGAAACTCGAAAAATCTCTAGAAATAGGCAAAATCCTCTAAGACATTTTATAAACTTATCTACCTATTCCCATTTAGTGAAAAGATTAAGAATATATAATTTTTTTCTTTTTCTTTCATTTTAAGGAAATCAATATAAAATTTTCACTAGAAAAGACAAAAAGAACCAGATCAGATTTTGACAGATTCCTTCAGGACATTAATCTGTTCACAAATATCATAAATGTTAAAATTGTGATTCAGTGAGTAGACAGTTCACTAAAAGCCAAGCACTGACATTTCAAGAGATACAAACAGCATTCTGTGATAATAACGCTGACAGCCAGCATCACTGGCTTTCTCAGAAAGGTGAATTCAGTAAATAATTATAAGTATTATATAGGCCACATTATGCTAAGTAATAAAAATCTGGCCCTAACTTAGCCATCCATAAAATTCCTACCCTATTTTTCCATTTTCAAAATCACAAAGGCAACTTACGATCTTAGCTCCCCATCAAGATCCTGTTGTCTTAATTTTCTGAAATCTGCATCAAGAGCCTGGTAGTTCTCCTCAGAAGTATCATAGAAACCAAGAGCAGGCTTTTTTTCGAATGGAATTTCAGCATTATAATCGACTCCTCTCTTCTTTTTTCTTTTCTTCTGAATTTCTATACCAGCTGCTCGAAGTTCTCTCCTCTTTTGGAGTGCAGCAAGACGCCTGAAGAACAAGAATGCAAGATCATGCTGAAAATCATATGGCATGGGAACAGCTGGATCCTCCAATAGCTAAGAAAACTATCTGGTTATTTGGGGAAGAAATACTTATTTAGACCCTCACCTTATACTATTCAACAAAAATAATTCCTGTTTTGATTTAAAGAGGTACACACACAATACAAGAGAAAGAAACACCAGAAGGAACTGCAGGCGTCGTACTTTGCTTTGTAGCACTTTGCTTTACTGTGCTTTACAAATACTGCATTTTTTACAAATTGAAGGTTTATAGCAACCCTACCTTGGGAAGGTCTACTGGTGCAATTTTTCTAACAGCATTTACTTACTTTTGTGTCTGTGACACATTTTGGTAATTCTTGCAATATTCTGAACTTTGTCATTATTATTATAATTGTTATTGTGATCTGCAGTCAGTGATCTTTCATGTTACTATAGTCATTGTTCCAAGGTATCCTGAACCACATCCACAAGAGATGGCAAACTCAATCGACAAATATTGTGTTCTGACTGCTCCACCAACAGGCTGTTCCCCATCTCTCTCTCCTTGGGCCTCCCTATTCCAAGATACAGAAATTTAGGCCAATTAATAACCCTACAATGTCCTCTGTTAAGTGTTCAAGTGAAAAGAAGAGTTGCACATCTCTCACTTTAAATCAAATGCTAGAAACAATTAAGGTTAGTGAGGAAGATACATCAAAAGCCAAGTCAGGCTAAAAGACAGGCCCTCTTGTGCCAAATAGCCAATGTTGTGAATGCAAAGGAAAAGTTCTGGAAGGAAAAGTGCTCTGCAAGTATACACACAAATGTTAAGAAAGTAAAAAGCCTTATTACTGAGAAAGTTTTAGTGGTCTCGATGGAAGATCAAACTAGTCACAACACTCCCTTAAGCCAAAGCCTAATCCAGAGCAAAGCCCTGACTCTCTTCAATTCTGTGAAGACTGAGAGAGGTGAGGAAGCTGCAGAAGAAAAGTGTGACGCTAGCAGAGGTTGGTTTATGAGGTTTTAAGGAAAGAAACCATCTACATAACAAAAAAAGTGCCAGGGGAACAAATCCTACCATTTGCAACAACATGGATTGAGCTAGAGGGTATTATGCTCAGTGAAATAAGCCAGGTGGAGAAAGACAAATGCCAAATGATTTCACTCATCCGTGGAGCATAAGAACAAAGAAAAAACTGAAGGAACAAAACAGCAGCAGACTCACAGAACCCAAGAATGGACTAACAGTTACCAAAGAGAAAGGGACTGGGGAGGATGGGTGGGAAGGGAGGGAGAAGGAGGGGGGAGAAGGGGGGCATTATGATTAGCACATATAATGGGGTGGGGGGCACGGGGAGGGCTGTGCAACACAGAGAAGACAAGTAGTGATACTACAGCATCTTACTACGCTGATGGACAGTGACTGTAATGGAGTTTGTAGGGGGGACTTGGTGATGGGAAGAGTCTAGTAAACACAATGTTCCTGATGTAACTGTAGATTAATGATACCAAAATAAAAAATTGTGTGTGTGTGTGTGTGTGTAAAGCAAAAAAAAAAAAAAACGTGCCAGGGAAAGCAGCCAGTGATGATGCAGAAGCTGCAGCATGTTCTCCAAAAGATCTAGCTGAGATCATTAACGAAAGGGGCTGCACTAAACAACAGATTCTAAATGGAGATGAAACAGGCTTCTATTGGAAGAAGATGCCATCAAGGACTGTCATACCTAGAGAAAAGTCAATTCCTGGTTTCAAAGGACAGGCTGACTCTCTTTTGTTGGGGTCTAATGCAGCTGGTGAATTTAAGGTAAAGCCAATAATGCTCATTTACCAATCTGAAAACCCTAGGACTCTTAAGAATTATGCTAAATCTACTCTCTATAAATGAAACAACAAAGCCTGGATGACAGCATATCTGTTTACAACATAGTTAACTAACCATTTTAAGCCCACTGTTGAGACCTATTGCTCAGAAAAAATATTCCTTTAAAAATATTACTGCTCATGGGAGGGAATACTGCCAAACTCATTCTATGAGGCCAGCATCACTCTAATACCAAAACCAGGCAAAGACAAAACAAAAAAAGAAAATTACAGACCAATATCCCTGATGAACACAGATGCAAAAATACTCAACAAACCGAATTCAAAAATACATCAGAAAGATCATCCATCATGATCAAGTAGGATTTACTCCAGGAATGTATGGATGGTACAACATTTGAAAATCCATCAACATCATACACCACATCAACAAAAAGAAGGACAAAAACCACATGATGATCTCCATAGATGCTGAAAAAGCATTTGACAAAATTCAACATCCATTCATGATAAAAACTCAACAAAACGGGTATAGAGGGCAAGTACCTCAACATAATAAAGGCCATATATGACAAGGCCACAGCCAGCATCATACTTAACAGCGAGAAGCTGAAAGCTTTTCCTTTAAGATCCGGAACAAAACAAGGATGCCCACTTTCCCCACTTTTATTCAACATAGTACTGGAGGTCCTAGCCATAGCAATCAGACAACACAAAGAAATAAAAGTCATCCAGATTGGTAAGGAAGAAGTTAAACTGTCCCTGTTTGCAGATGACATGATATTGTACATAAAAAACTCTAAAG